CCCCCCCCCCATCTACAGCATAATCCGACTTAGTGGTGTGTGTTTCACCTGAAAGCTCAGCTAAATGATTATGCCAGAGTGAAATAAATTCTACATTGCACCGGCATGCTTGATGAGGATGTTGAGAATAATTTTGTTGATTGATACCGGTAATAGAAGTGTTACTGTCATGTAATCCCTGTGGCACATGTGGAAGCGGATCCCTGCAAGGCCATAATCAAATTGATTTTTTCTGTTTATAGGTAATGATGGTTTGTGCATAATGCAGGTTGTGGAGCAATCAGGTGGCTGATTTCATTGTACAGCCTGTGACAGATTGGGACAAAAATATTTCGTGTAAAGAAATTTAACAAGTCTTCACTATGTTTGATAAATGTATCGCCACTACAGAGGAATTTGTAGTATGTTCAATATGGGCTGTGCACTGTTATGTGTGTGACAGAATAACTGCCTTATTTACTGTGGTGCAATTCACAGATTAAAGGGGCTCTTTTTTATTTTCATAGTACCTCATGTGAGACAGCATAAATAATTGGGCAACATACTAATCAATCTTTTGGTGTGAGGTACACTTCAAGACCGCCTAAACCAAGACCAAGACAGACCGAGTCAAGACTAAGACAAAGTCGAGACGAGACCAAGACAGAGACCGAGACAAAAAAGTCTTTAAACTGCAGCCAGATGCTGCTTCGTTTACGGGTGTCAGGCATATTTATGTGTTTTTGCGATGCACTCGCACAGCCCTGCTCTCCGCTGTCTACTGTCTCACTCACTTACTGAGAGGACAGACGGACTCTCCACTTGACTGTCGCATCTCTCACCCTCTCTGTTTTTCACATAATGATAATATCCCATATCCTCACATGTGATTGGCCACAATATGGAGGGATTGAAGTATAGCTGAGCCACTGTGTGAGAGCTGAGCAGCAAAAGGAAATTGAGTGGGGCTTTTGCGTATGACACATTATCGAACATTACGTTGTGTGTCATGGATACTGTTGACTCCAAATCTCCCGACCACTATATCGATCTGAGACATCAAGACCAAGACAGCGAGACCAAGACAAGACTGAGGGATCCGAGACCAAGACCAAGACCAAAGTCCGTCAAGACCAACACAAGACCAAGACCACATAAAAGTGGCCTTGAGACTGATCTCGAGACCACTTTTACGTGACTTTACAAGACCGGTCTCGAGGCATCCAACTCTAGTGTGAGGCGAAGAAAGAAGCCTGTAAAACCAATGCGTGACAACTTGATGGGGATAGATAACCATGACTTTGAATAAATAAATAATGGAACCAAATACATGTTTCTTAGGCATGTTACATTAGCTTTTAATAACCACATTGCCACTAAGGAATATTTTAACTTTACTGGACTGTTTCACGAGAAAAAGAGGGAACAAGCAAACTGTCATAAGGATATGGATAAACAACAACAGGGTTCTATGTTACAGTACTCTGTATTCACGGTTATTTCCTCAGTACTGATAATGTGTATAGATTGATTATGGAGTGACAGAGGCCTGTAAGTCTGATTCAGTGTTTTCTCACAAATGTCCTAATGCATACACTCAGGCCTGAGATCTTAGGCAACCGGCCAAAACAACATCCAGAGTCATCGCTTTCTTTAAAGTGAAGTGATCTTACTGAATATACTTATGGGCAGACATTCAATCTGCTTGCTTAAGCAACTAAAGACCATCTCAGTGATTGCTCGCTCAGTAATGCTGCCAAAGTCTTTGCATCCTTGGATGGACAATTAAATTAAGCTTTATAAGTAAAGGAAGTTTTTTCTACTACCTGTGGGTAATTCATGTTATAGAAAAGCAGTTCAAAAGAAAGACCTGGGAAACAGTTTGTGTTTTAAACTTCAAACAGTCAAATGTTTATTAGTTTATTTCCACATAAATGTGCATTCTTACATTTAAGCTGCTCTAAACTTAAGAGGTATTTGCAGTGACTGATTGGAATTATATCTGTAAGTGAAACGAGCAATACAAGAGAACTTGACCTGTCAAATTGTCTTTGTTTATATAAATCTCTCTTTGGAAACGAATGATAAGCATTTCAGGTGTTTTCTTTATTAATTTATGCAGTATAATAAATATACTATTAACTTAGTTTTCCTGTTAGCCAAATTTTGGTTACTAATGTTGGCTAGTAATAATTTCTGCATTAGCAAAGATTGTGACTAATGCTAACTGAATGCTCAGACCATGCCATTGGTCAGTTGCAATGTTGATCCTGGACCAATGATGATGTAGGAACAATACAAACACAGAGATATCAGATCATTCGTATGTATTTGTATGCTAGCAATATTTTCCACCTATACAGTCTATGAATGCCATTTGCTAAGCTGGCTAAAATAAGCTGATAATGTAGCACTCCACACCCTGATCCAAAGTGGGTCAAAGGCATGCCAGGTAGGCTTTATGCCAGTGTGCCAACACATGAAAAGCCAGAACTACAGACAAGACATTTCAGGCATTGCTGCAGTAGTATTTTCTTAGAGGATTTTTATTACATTCTAGAAAGCACTTCAACTTTGGTTGTAGGCTGATATATGTAAATCATTTTATACTACCATATTGTACCACTTCATTTACAAAGCACTTTTAGAAAACAACAAGAGGGCTGACCAAAAAGCAGAAAGGGTAAGAGATGCAAAAAAACAAAAGAGCTGTAGAAGTTAAACAATAAAATAGTACATAAAAAGTATCTCAGAATAACTGTTAATATCTCTCACTGGGTCAAAGGTCAGGGAGTAAAACTGTTTTTTTTAAAACAAAAAAACCCCCAAAAAGAGAGTGACAGAGTGAGAGTGACATATGGGTACAGCAGTTCAGACAGATAAAATGGAGCACAACTGTTAAGAGACTTTAAACAACTAAATGGATTTTAAAATAGATTTGTAAACAAACCGGATGCCAGTGAAGGAAAGCTAAAATTGGAGTGATGTGCTCTCGCTTGCACCAATACTTTGAGTGGCAGGTTTTTTTTTTTGCACGAGCTCTAGGTGAGCAATACAAGGCTGGCTAATTCAGATAAAAATTGCACTGCAGTAATAGAGATTAGACATTTTGAAAGCATGCCTTAATGTTTCAAGGTGAGTTTCGACATAAGACCCTTAATTTTTGACAGGAGCCTCAACTGGAAAAAGCAGGATATTAGCACCATACAAGGTAAGATAAAATGAGTTCTAATGCAGAGCCATCTTGAGGTTAAAGCTCGCTATTATTAAGCCCTTTTGACAGTATTTCCTGCCAGTTATTACAGACCGCAGTTCCTCTCAAAAACCGCAAACACACACACACACACACACACACACACACACACACACACACACACACACACACACACACACACACA